TGATTATGATATGCTTTGTTATTGTTTTATTTATATTATTGTGCTTATCATTTGTTGAGTTTCTTGAATACATGGGTTTAGGATTTTCATTTTATTTGGACATTTTAGAACCATTAATCACATATAGTTGTCCTGTCCCCTATCCTAATTTTTAGGGACTACAATTACATCTATTACAGGACACTTGAAATTGTACCACAGGTAATTAAAGTGCCCCCCCCCCCGCCGCAGTATTTTCTCTATTCATGTTATTTTAGATGGTTTTTTATTTGCTAAATCTCTTGTCTTCAAGTTTATGAATCTTTTCTTCCTGAGTATCTAACCTGTTGTTATTTATATTCAGTGTACTTTTCATCTCAGACATTGTAGTTTTCAAATATAAAACTGGATCTTTTTACTAACTGTTATTTCTCTACTTACCATGCTTATGTTTTTCTCTACAGTCTTGAACTTATGGAATATTACAGTAAGTAATTTAGTATCATTGTTTGATATTTCAGTCATCTATGTCACTTCTAGATCTGTTAATATTAATTGATTTTTCTCATTCTAACTCACATTTTCCCTTTTTTCCCAAACCTGGTAATTTTTTATTGGATGTCAGACATTGTGATTTTAACTTTTCCTGAATGCTGAATACCTTTTATACCTTTAAGCATTCTTGATATATGCTTTGAGCATCAGTGAAGTTACTATAACAACTTGGCAACATAGCAGAGCGGACTTTAATCTAGGGCTAATTTTATCTACTGCTGAAGCAATACCTTTCTGAGTGCTTTAACCAATGTCAGGTGTACTACAAGGTATTTCCACTCTGGCTGGTGGAAACATTATCTATTCTCAGCCAGTTTGAGTTCCAGGAGTTGTAATAACTACTCCATTGTGGTTTTTTACTTGCCAGTGAGTCAGTTCTGACTCATGGTGACTTCACATATGCAGAGTAGAACCGCTCCATAGGATTTTTAAGGCTATGACTTTTCTGAAGCAGATCGCCAGGCCTATCTTCTGAGTCTCCTCTGGGTGGGTTTGAATTGCCAACCTTTCAGCTAGTTACCACATACTTTAAACTTTAATAACTTTTTGAATCACAAATGAAAATTGTGTAACTTGCAAGCATGTGTTTAAATATCCATTTAAAAATAAATTAAATTTCTTTTGAAGGCACAGGGGATATTTACACACTATTGGAACTACATGAAAAACAATCTTACCTGCTGAATTTTCTCTAAAATTTCATTGGTCTCTCTCTTTATGAAATACTTGACAGGAAAAATACACTTTAAAATAGTAATACAACATGAGACAAATAATGACAAAAACTGTCATTACGTTAATGCAATATAACTGTCAGCAAAAAAGAAAATATGAAATTAGATACTTTTTAAAATGCAGGAAAATATGACTTTAGGAGAATCTACTTTATCAGTCAATGGCTAGCAAATTCCCTATGGAATAATTTGTCTTCTCTATTGTTTAAAAATGTCATGATATGTGTGATAAATTTTAGAAAAACACACAATGATAAGAATTTTCACGTATTAATGTTTAAACCCTAAATGTTTGGCTCACCAGAAAATTTGGCTTTCCAAAGTGACTCATTCCCCAATAATTGCTAACAATTATAATTAGACATTTTGCACAGAGGTCTCAAACTGGTGGCACTTAGGCAAAATTCAGTATGTTGTATTTGGTTGGCCCACACAATATTTTGAAACATTCTGAATTACTTGATAAAATACAAAAAAACGCAAATTTTGCACAAATATTCAGACTCCTGTCTTACCCTTAAAATTAGAAAATGTGAACATTGGGGTATAAATTTTATTTAGAAATGAGTGAAGCTGAGTATTAACTATTCCTGCAGAGGAGACTTGCACTTTCAGGAAGGTCATAGTCTCCACCATATCTTAATTTTCATACACCTGTCCCTACTTTATACACCTGTAGGGTCAATACAGTTTCTAGATTGGTAACATCTGCTTGGTAGCTTCCATAGAAATACCAATCCTTTTAATATACATTATTGCTAAACTTGCAATAGGATGAGATAGATTAAGTATTATTATTGTAACCATTTTCCAGAGGCAGAACGCAGCGAGAAAGGTAAATTGTGCAAGTCATTTCATGTTTTTATTCAAGAGATCTTAGAACCAAAAAGGCATTGGAGAACCTCTATTTTTCTGTCCAAAATACCTAACCTTATACATGAAAAAGAAATTTCTGGAAAGAAGGGGGAAAAATTATCTTGAATCAAAAAACTAGTTCATGCCAGCGGGGCGCCTGTTTATAAAATACAGATATTCATTATCCACTGCAGCATCCTTATTTCCTGTTATCATGTTCTAAATCAAAATATATTAAAGCACTCCTTGGAATTGGTGGAACAAAAATTGAGAAGAAAAACAATTTCTAATCATAGTGACTTCTTAGAATTCAAATGCCCTATTAGGTATTTAAAACCACAGAATTACCATATCATGGAGAGACAAGGTATAAACAGCATCGAGAAAACCCATCTCAGATCATCCACCACCTAGTCCTCTGGTGTTCTACTTTGGAAACAAGGTAATGTTTTCGTATATTCTCTCTCACACACCATGCACTTCTGAAAAGATACTTCAAAACCTGTTAATAACCTACAAATAAAAAATTGAAATAACATTTGTAAAGTTACCAATATCAGTAGACTATAAATTGTTTTGAGAAATTTTATTTTAATTAATATAAGCTTCTGATTTATCTTCTCTTTAGTTTTTTTTTAAATACAGTGAATATATAGATATAGAGAACTGTTTATCATGATACTCTGTCTCACGAAGTGTCAAGGATTTATTTTGAGAGCAGGACCAAAAGAATCAGGCTTCTAGAACTCTAGCAACGGCTTATTCTGAGTGTGACTTCTTGGATCTCTTTCTTCATCTGTAATCTGGAGTCAAACATACCTATTCACATGCTTATACTGAGGATTACAGAAATTTGCAAGATGTCTAGCACAGTGTCTGCCAGATAGCAGATACTTAGTAACTGTAGCTATTTGAAATTTCCTTGCCTAACATGTTAAGAATATTTCTTTAATTATCAATTAACGTTTTTCCATGTTTCAATTTCTTTCACCTAGGTAATACTCTATCATTAAGTAAACTTGATTGGAAAACAGCTATATCTAATACATTTATTTCAGATATTGAACAAAAGGCAGTGAAATATATCATCTTTTAAATAAATCTTAGCCAATGTGAAATGTGTCCTGTGCATATTGTCTGCATAAAAATATTATTTTTAATTCATAAGAGTGCATGAATATATCATCAACTACATGCTCAGTGTAAGGCTGAGATATTTTAAACAATAGGACTGAGAGATTATTTTAAAATTCTTTTAAAATGGACATTTGGAGACCAATAATTTAATGCCTGTCCATACAAACCCTATATTTTTGCATGGGTATAGATCATAAATACATTTTATAACTGTTTGGGTGAAAATAAAAATTCTGCTTTAATAATAGTTAATGAATTTTGAACATGTAGTCAAAAGTAGTGGAATAGATATAAAAAATACGTTAGAATTACTTTTTAAAAATTTTTTCTTATTCATTTAACCACAGCGGAAAGAAGTTGAATTGATAGCTGGTCAGAAAACCTTGTGAATTTGTTTATAGTTGTAGAAATAGATACTGATCAAGCTTGAAGGGATCGTGTAGAAATCATGTAGTCAAGTCTTTCATTTGCTAGGTGTGTAAAGTGAGGTACAGCTCAGGGTTTGGCCACCCAGTCCGGGTTGACCTGTGCCTAGCAGGACTCCTGACACCCAACTTAGTGTTATTTTCACCCACTACTTCTTATCCTTATGATTGAGCCAGACTGCAAGTTTTAGCTCACCTGAAATCTGATTTAAAAATGAGTTCCTACTCTATTTTGCATCTGATAACCATTCATTACAAAATGCCTATCACTGAAGATTACAGAAAAGTTGTAAAATAGCATGCACTAGCAAATTATAATGATTGTTTTCACCACTGTATCGTGATACCCTACCTGGCATGTTATAGGAAATGGTCATTGAATGAATGGATATATAAATAAATAACAAATTATAGTTACGTATACATGCTTACCCATTGCCATCAAGTTGATTCTGACTCATAATGACACTATAGGACAGAATACTCTGCCCCCCTAGGATTTCCAAGGCTGTAGTCCTTACAGGAGCAGACTGCCATATCCTTCTTCCACAGAGTGGCTGGTGAGTTCAAACCACTGAACTTTCAGTTAGCAGACAAATGCTTAACCACTGCACCACCAAAACTCAACCCAAACTCATTGCCATCAAGTGGATTTTGACTCATGTAGGACAGAGTAGAACTGCGCCATAGGGTTTCCAAGGCTTTACGGAAGCTTACTGACACAGCTTTCTCCCGTGGAGCAGCTGGTGGATTCGAACCGCCAGCCTTTGGGTTAGCAGCCAAGCATTTAACCACTGCTCCACCCACCCACTGCCATCAAGTAGATTTTAACTCATAGTGACCCCATAGGGTTTTCAAGGCTTTAAATCTCTGTGTAAGCAGACAGCCACATCTTTCTCCTGAGGAGCTGCTGGTGGTTTCAAACCTCCAACCTTTCAGTTAGCAGTTGATCTCTTTAACCACTGTCCCACCAAAGCTCCTTAAATTATAATTAGGATCCATAATCCTATGAACTAGCTATACTTGAAAGAATTTTCCCTATTTAAGCAGTCAAGGTTTTACATCATGCTCTCTTGAAAAAAATCACTCAAAGAAACTCATATTCATATTCAGAATCATGAACTTCTCAAAAGAATCTGCTTTTATTAATCTTCATTGTCCTTATCCCATTATCTGGTACAAAGATAAAAAATAAATAAATGTCTATTTATTTATAAAAAATAAATATGTAATAGGATAAAAATAGAATATACAATTTTAAGAGAGAAAATCTGTTATTGATTTTCTATGTATTTTTTTACAGGGCCAAGTAAACATGAGGTTCTTCATCTTTACCTGCCTTCTGGCTGTTGCTCTGGCAAAGCATGTAAGTATAATGGGACACCTAGGGAACTATTCTTACTGAAATACATAAGAAGAGTGAAACTTTACTATATGCAGAAGATATCAGGGTGGGCCTCAGTGAAAAGAGACTACTGTGTGTGGCCTTTTTATCTATGATCGAAGAATGTATTGACCCTGCCTTACACAGAATGTGAAGGTAAACTTTCTATGAAATGTCTTCACTGTAGTGTTAGAGAGGCTATAGTTAACAGGAGATAAAGCATAGATTTCCCTCCATCTATGATGGAATATATGTTAGAAGTCTGAATTTTCCAGAAGACTATCCCCACTTTCCCAGCATGTCTCTGGAATTATAAGCAAGTCCTTCCCTACGATTTGTGATTCTAACATCAGCTGTCAATAAAGAGATAGTTTTACCAATCTTGTTTTACCATCTTGATTGTTCAGAAACAATGATGATAAAATACAATTTAAGTCGTTACTTTGTAAGTTACTCACCAAATAAACTAGTAAGGATAAAATAACAATATTCAGGTCACAAAATAATGTGTCTGTAACAAGATAATACATGTGAAAATGCTTTGTTAACATATATATGCATACATATATACATACATACAAAATTACAGTATATGTAATTATACTCTATCAACATTATTACTACCATCATCCTGAAAGGAACACATGCATCTGTTTCCTTTTCACCCCAACATCTCATTCTCCCCGTAAGGTCACCTTAATTATGATGTTCAGAGTTCTTTGCTACAACACACATTCCCACATTTAAGAGATACACACAGACAGGCATTTGAGTCTTCTTAAATTTGTAGCCTATTTAAGAGTAAACCTAAATTAAGAATTCTTTTCTGTATATGAACAAATTATACATTTTTTTTAAAAAGAAAGACAACAATGCTTAGAGGTCAATATTACAGCAGATCAGTTGTTTCTTCTCTCTTACATTGAGACATAACAACTGTCTTCTCTTTCTTTCTATCCAGTAGTTGGTCTAATCCATCCTTTCTTTTAGTAGACAGTTCACCCAGCTAAAAATAAAGAGGTGCCATTAGCAAGATTAGGATATTAAAATACTACTTGTGGCAGAGTTTTCTGGGAACTTAAGAATAATGTTATGCTTGTTTATTGATCATATTTGAAACTAAGATAATTTTTCAAAGGAGGCTCTATTTCACTAAATTTCCCCACATAAACAGTTATTTAAAATTCCCTTGCCAGTAAACAGTAGAGACAGAGATTCAACTTGGCGGCTTTAAATAAGTCATAAAAGTTAAATTTGTGTTTCTTTTGTTTTTTATTTTTTGTTTGTTTGTTTATATATAGGAGATGAAACATCTCTCCTCCAGTGAGGTAAGGCACTTTATTATGATCACAATTCCTGGTACCTTTAAAAATAAATAAATAAATAAAAACCCTGGTGGTGTAGTGGTTAAGAGCTACCACTGCTAACCTAAAAGGTCTCGGCAGTTCGAATCCACCAGGCACTCCTTGGAAACTCTATGGGGCATCTCTACTCTGTCCTATAGGGTCACTATGAGTTGGAATTGACTCGACAGCAATGGGTTTTTTTTTTTTTTTAATAGCGTAGAATATGTCTTTGCACTCTTTTTTGTGACCAATAACACTAGAGCTACAGAATCATAAAAAATTTGAAATGCAACCAAGGGTAAAAAGTTTGGAGAGAGTAACCCAAAATCTGTGTATCCGAACATACCAAGATTAGATGTGTGCACTTTTCCACTTGCTTTCCAGTGGTCATCCAATAGTCATATTAGTACAGAAGTAATGGTGAGCATTCGATATCTTGTGAATGCAATGACAGGTATCCATTCTTCTGGAGTAAGAATGCACACCTGTTGTGCACATCTGCATCTACATTAAATGCTAATTTCTAAATGTCTTCTTGCCCATGAGTACCTAACAGATATCCAAAGCACCTTCAAAGTCTCCCAAATAATTGTCCTGTTCTCTGGCTATGCATTTCATTTTTAAAAATTGGGAAGTCAAGTTTACTCTGTAATTCTTGCAAAGGATAAGTATTTTATACTAAATTACTGGAGAATGAGTGTGGATTAATATTCTCTGAGTAGGATGACTAAGAATTTATGTAAATAAAAAATAAAAATGTATTATCAATTTCTTTTTGTAAGGAATCTGACATCATCACCCAGGAAGTAAGTCATAACTTTCTGTATTAAATATATTTAAAATAATCTATCATGTTTATATGATTATAAAATTAACATTGTTTATTTTGCAGAAATGTAGGGAGGACAATCATGTGGTCTTCCAGACCAGTAACTTAAAATTAATTTATTATTACCTTTTTGTTTTATTGATGAGATGTATTTTCTATCCATTTTAAGTTATCTTAACATATGCCCATAATGAGTATTATTTTTTTCATCTCTGTGCATGAAATAGGTGATGTTTTCATTGTCTTAATTACTGTGAAATTAGACGAAAAGGATCCCAGGAAAACATACTTGTGGTCTATTTATGAAACTTGTTTCCAAAATAGCATTTTTCTGAAAGGAGTTCTTATTTAAGGTCCATGACCTTCCCTTCCCCTTCCCAAATCTGGCCATCATTTTGTATTTTCTTAGCTAACATTTTATTTTAATTTAAAAAAATTCTATATAGGAATCACAGTAAATGATAAGTCTTTCTTGAATCAGAACTTAAACCAACACTTATTCTTTGTTTTGTCTTGTTATATTTTTTTTCAGGAGAAAATTCACTCCAAATCCCATGAGGTATATAATACCTTGATTTGACGTCTAACCATAATGTGTAGCAGAAATATTATATTGCTTTGAGTAAAGTTGAAATTAAGGAGCCCTCGTGGTGCAATGGTTGAGCACTCAGCTGCTAATCAAAAGGTCGGCCATTTGAAACCCACCAGTGGTTCCCTGGGAGAAAAGACCTGATGATCTGCTCCCATAAAGATGACAGCCTAGGAAACTCTATGGGGCAGTTGTACTCTGTCATATAAGGTTACTATGAGTCTGAATCAACTCCACAACACACAAAAACAACAAAGTTAAATTACCATAGATGGAAAATGTATTAAATGTCAAACAATGCAATTTGAAAACCAGGCCAAAAACATAGACTTGTCCTAATTTGATGAATAATTCAAAGAAGATTTATTTGTGTAGAAATCAACTAAATACTTCTCCAGTTCGCAAGAATAGAGACCTAGACATTTTGTGATTTTAATTGCTTAAACTAATATTTAATATTTTTATCAAAATTTACTTTCTTTTAAACTTAAATAAACTTATTTTTAATAGAAACTTTATATAATTACTACCAAAATCAGATCTGATGACTTAATTATATGTTTTGTAATATACATTAAAATAAATGCATAATTACTAAAATTTTTGAAGTTTATTCTAAAGTACTGCTTAAATTAATCATGTCTATTCATTCATTTAACAAACGTTTATTGAAGAAGAACTATGTCCCGGACAATCTCCTAGGCTCTGAGGATACAACAGCGAATTCAGCAAGCAAAATCCCTCCCCTCATTGCCCAGTATTGCACCCTTGCATGTTTACTATCAATTGGAAAATTCTTCTGTAAATTACACAAAACCCAAACACTGAAAATAAATCCATTTTTATGTTTCTCTTAGTGGGAGATGGGTTTGCTTTTTATATTCAGTATAATATGTCTTTTAAACAATGCTGTGGAGATAATATGCCTAATTCTTTTTTAAAGCAGGAAATCAGAAAGAAGAGAGATGAAATAGTGAGTTATTTTTATTCATTCAAACTATATTTGGTTGTTATTAATACCTAATATTAAATACTAATAGTAACAGGTAGAACGTCTAGAAAAATTGTCTTCTAATAAACCAGATAATAATTTTTATATTGCTTAAGAGTGATAGTTTCACCCTGCCTGCTGTATTTTATCCGCCTAAATTTGCTCTTATTCTCATAATTGAGATACTTCTATATAACTAATAGATAATGTTTATCTCTTCCACTTATTTTCCAAAGATGATTAACAATGAGCATCTAAGAAACCTGATTTTTTTGTTTTATTTCAATTCTTCTTTTGACTTTTCATGCTAATGATCAAGAAGTTAATTAACATGAGATTTAGCTAAAGTAATTACTGATATTCAAGGAATAATGTTGCTGATTCTATTTTACCTGGTTACCAGATTTTTATTATTATTATTCATTATTATTTCTCAAGGAATCTGCTAGGAGTTCATCTAGTGAGGTAAGATACTGTTTCTTTTAAAATCAAAGAACAACTTCTTTCAAGAAATAACAGCTTTCCCATAGTGTTATAAATTTGATAAATTATAGCAAATCCAACAGTCATGGGAGATAATGGGAAAACCATACACATGACTCAAAAATCATTTTTGAGTGCTGAATTTGACTATTTTCACAAGAGGTTATTCATTCTACCCCATTCTCTTAGAAAATGTATATGTGACTCTATAGGACATTGCATTTTAAAGCAAGCCTGTGGCAACTCAAGAGCTTGCCAATTACCTTCACCACAGGGTCATTATGGAAACTCACTTAATATTGTTTAAAGATGGTCCCCAGATTAGTAGCATCAGTAGCACCTAGTAATTTATTAGAAAGACAAATTCTTAGGCCCCACTCCAGACTTACTGAATCACGAACTCTAAGTTGGAGCCAACCAATCTATTTTAGCAAGGGTTTTTGTTTTGTAGGTGATACTGATGCACATTAAACTTTGAGAACCACCTTTGAAGGGGGTTGAATGAGGGTTTAGGTTAAGAGCTGCACGGATTCCAGGTACAAGAAACACCTTTTCTGGTGGAAAGAGCCAGAGCATAAGGGTGTCCTGAGGGAGCAAGAAGTGCGATTTTGGATTTATGGATCCTGATCCAGAGCCTTGTGGGCTGGGGTAATGCCTAAATTCTTCAAAGTCAGTGCCTTAGGAAGCTGGCCTGACCCTTTCTGTAAGGAAATCTTAGCCTCAAACAGACAGCTTCAGGCCATGTTTGTCACTTCATGAAAGAACAAGCAAGGTTTAGTTTGCCACACACCTCGCCGGGCCTCTTATGCTTATTTTCAGGCACCTGTCTACATTCTGCAGGCAAATGAGATTGCCTGAATAATGTACAAATGATAAAATCTTTGAAAGAAAACATATTTTAGTCATGTTATTTGGTTAAAGAGAGAGTTCTAATGATAAATATTTTAACTTATTTAATTCTTAATAAATGGCTTGATTTCTCAATGCTAGGACTTAAGCCCTGTAGCCCCTTCCTTTCTTCTAAAGTTATTCAGAGACAAATACTCTATGTCTTTCAAGTAAAGCCATTTCTTACTTTGTTCTTTTAGGAATCTGCCCAAGTATTTCCTGAAGTAAGTAATTCTCATTCAAATACAATTAATTTAATACCATTGACTAACATTTTTATTTTATGTTTTTATAACATGTGCTTTACTTTTAACAGAAAATTGAGCTGACTGATGAGGAAAAGGTCTACCTAAAACAACTGGTAAGTTTTTTTAACTTATAACTTCAAATAAAATAATATTCTTTACTCTTTCTTCTCCCAAATGATCGCTTACTATTTCTTCTCAATGTGATATTAATACCAAATTTATGATTTTAAAAAATGCTTTTTCCTATTGTTACTGTGATATGCAAATATTGTCTCAAGAAATAGATCGGGGGCTATCATTTAAGAAAAAATGAGTAATTACCCAATTAAGCTGGGAGGAGTTACAAATCTCTGAAAAATAGTCTTAAATTTCAGTGAACTGATTAAGACACTACTATAGTCCAACAAGCACATAAATGCTCACTCAATTTCTCTTTAAGTATAGCAACAAGGGCTGATACGTCAATGCAAAAAGCTACTTACTCTCATTCCAAACCATAAGAGGCCATGTAACTCATTCTTTGTGGACTAAAGAAGTGTATAATATAGGATGAGAGCACAGGCCTTGGAGTTAGGCACGTCGTGTCCCAACTCCAGCTTCACATGCTGTTACTTTGCCTTTCCAAGCTACAGTTTCCTTCACTGAAAATGAAGCTAGTAATACTAATCCTGCAGGGTTTTTTAAGAATGTCATAGTTATCTGGAGCACTGGTGGCATACTGGTTAAGAGCTCAGCTGATAACCAAAAGGCTGGCAGTTTGAATCTACTGGCTGCTCCTTGGAAACCCTATGAGGTAGTTCTACTCTGCCCTGTGTGGTTGCTATGAGTCAGAATCAACTCGATGGCAACGTATCTTTTTTTTTTTTTTTTTTTTCAGTTATCTAGTGCTGTTATAACAAAAACACCACAAATGGGTAGCTTTAACAAACAGAAATCTATTTTCTCAAAGTTTAGAAGGCATCTGAATTCAGGGTACCGACTCTAAGGGAAGCCTTTCTCTCTCCGTCAGCTCTGGAGGAAGATTGTTGTCTCTTTTGAGCGTCTGCTCCTGGGCAATCTTCACGTGGTTTGGCCTCTCGCTTCCCCCATCTCTGCTTGTTTCTCTGCACCTATCTGCTGTTTTTATGTCTCAAAGGTGATTGGCTTAAAACATGTCCTACACTTATGTGGCCTCTTAACATAACAAAGAAAACTCATTCCCAAATGGGATTATAACTACAATATAGGGGTTCGGATTAACAACACGTATGTTTGGGGGACACAATTCAATCCATAAGAGATGATGTTAGATGATATATTTAAATTACATAATAAAATGCCTTGAATACAAAAAAATACACCAAAAATAGTGATTATTAAATTTATATATATAGGAAACATTTATTCTAAATCTATTATAAGAAGAGCTTCTTACTGAGCATTTCAAAATGAGAAACAAATCATTTTGTTTTTAGAAAGTTCTAATTGCCCTCATAGTCTTTCTTACACTGTGCCTAAATGCTTCTCCTCTGAACCACTCCTGTCATAACCTTGTGTCTATCCAACACTTACCCCTAGGAAATTTTAAAGACTCATTGACTTTCTACACATCTATTTACTTATTATCTCTGTGAACTCAATATTCTTCAAGAGTAAAGATTCCATTTTAAGTGATCCCATCTTTAACTTTTACTCTATGGTCAAGTATCAGCAGTCAAGTCAAAGCAGAAATTCACTAGAATATTTATTCACCTGGATATATTTGATGGGTTCTGTATAGACCACTTCATATTCATCAACTCAAATAACACTTGAAGGCAAATGGTGCTCTGAAAGATCAAGAAACAAGCCCAGGGTCATGGGGATATATAAGCTTCATTTTATCTGACTTCAAGTATCAGGCTTTTTCAACCAGATACGGATTAAAAAAAATGACAAGCTGAGACAGTTTTCACGGTAATTCTTACCTCCCCTTCTAACACACTCATTTACTTTTTTAAAATCAGTCATTTTGATCTGGAAGCCTGAATTAACAACATGATTTTTTCAATTCTGAAATTCACTCTATGAATGTAGACACTGTTAAAGTGAATTTTATATTAAAATCTCTGTTTTTCCTTGGTCAATTTATCATCACTTAGACATGATCTAAATAAAGTTCTAATTCGTTGGTTTTGTCCAGATCTGCTCTGACCAATGAAGGAAATTCAATACTTGTGTAAATATTGATACATTTCTTTCCCTCTAGAAAAAGATCAACCAATTTTACCAGGAGTTGAAACTTCCCCAGTATTGCCAGGCTTATGCTCAACATCAGATAGTCATGAACCCATGGAATTACATGAAGACAAAGGCCTTCCGTCTTACTCCTGTTCTGGTGAGCTCTGCATTTGTTTGTATTCTTCTTGCTTTCATTTGAAAAAATAATTAAATTAATGAGAGAAAAAATGTCTTAATCATTTTTAACGTAAAAAGTAAAACACGTTTAAATATAATATTTTAGGACAGCATTTGAGTCAAAAATGATTTAGTCCAAATACTATTAAAAAATTGAACTTCAATGTCCTAAGCATTTACTTAAATGTCATTTTACTTGAAATAGTAAGTCTTTGAGGTACACAGAGGTAGAGAATATCATCTCCATTTACAAAAGAACTGAAATTTGAAGAAATGAAATGACTTGTCAAAGTTCTAATTAATAAAGTCACTTCGTTTTATAAAACCTTGTTTTACTTAGGGAACTTTTTCAAACAAAAGGAATAAGTGGAAACTGAACATAGGAAGCAGGCATGTAGTTATAAACAATATGAGATTTAAAGTCAGAAGACCTGGATTGAGTCCCAGACCTGCCTTGAACAAGATGTGTTACTTTGGACAAATCATTATCCTATTTCTTGGATATGAATGATTTTCCTAGGAGAGTCTTTAGAAGTTAAAGATACCATCCCCATCATTAAAAAAAAAACAAAAAAAACAGTAATTTCATACTGTTGGTTTAAATGTTAGATGCCTAAGGAACATCCTGAAGGTCAAAATCTATTTTTACCTGAAGTAGAAAAATCTTTGAATCTTTTATCTCTTATGTTTAGAGGATGACAGAGTTGGGCAGTAAAGACCATAGATTATCTGTGTGGTCCCAAAGCTATTAATCAGTCAAACAAAACAGTGACTCTGTCAAAAACAAGATGAGGAAGTCAGCTCACTATCCCTCATGTTTTATAAATTATGTTCACTGCAGTAGTGGAGAGGTTATAGTTATAGGTGAAAGCACACATTGCACTCCATATAGGTTTGAAATGGCTAAGGATTGATCACCTCGATTGATCACCTGGCATATCCCTGTGGCAGTATGTGCAAGGTTCACGGCTACAATTGTGGATTCCAAAATCAACCTTCAAACCTGCTTAGAATTTTGCCGTTCTTGATAGGAATGGTTTGGAATATCTAATAGTTATATATGGACCAAGAATGTGTGACAGAAAATAAAGCTATTAAGCAAAAGTCTTGAATTTGAGTGGTAACTAGACAAATTACTTGCAAAACAATATCACTTCTATGGGTGACATTTTCTTATATGTGAAGACGTAATTATAATATTCTCCTCGCGAAATAAGTAGGATTAAGCAGAGAATATATGTGAAAGTGCTTAAGCGATTTTTTCTATGTAGAACAAAAAATATAAAAAATCATATGTCCACATTATGAGGATTTTACTAGATTAGATATATGAAAAAGCTTAAGAGATTTTATTTTGAAAAATTACTATATACATGTAACATAGCAATAATATTACCATCATCATTTTAAGGAATAATTTATAATTCATCCCTTACCACATATCTAGCAAAGAGTAAGAGACCACATATCGATCCCTCCTTAACGCCCAAAATCTACATCTCTACACATCACCATTTACCTACTGCTCTCAGAGTCTTAACTACCTAATTTACCCCTGTATTTTAGGCGTATGTCCTAGCTGACTTTGGTGTCTCCTTGTCTTTAAGGCTAATTCAATGGTAAAGCTAAGGTAGAGAACTGCATACATAATATATACAATTTTAGGAAAAGTACTTCAGTGATCAGTTTGACACATGTAACAATTGTTTTTTCTCACTTAGATTCTACTAGTCTTAACTACTGTCTTCCTTATTTTTCAGTAGTTGACCTCAGGCATTCCTTTTTCTAAAATATTTCTACTCAGCTAAAAGTTAAGTGAAGCCACTAGCAGATGACTAGTATACCAATACGTCTGCCACAGTTGGATTTTTATGTTCATTTTTTATTTCAAGAAAAATGCTTTACTGTCTAATTTATACTTATCTTTGATTGAGGACACTTGCCTATTATTATCGTTTTCAGCATTTATCATAAAACTCAATATATATTTCACTCCCTATGGATTCTATCATTGTAGTATCATATTAAAACATTCTGTATTCCACATGTATTACTCTCTATTTCAAAATGTGGCAACTTTAATATCTGTAATCCAACACCTGAACCAGCTCCTAAAATGTAATAAATACCTATCAGAGCAGTCAGTGGTGGTAGCTGGGCAACATCTAGTTGCGCTGGACTCAACCTAGTGGAAGCTGTGTAGTTGTGTTCCATTAGTCCTTTGGATTAATCTTTCTCTTGTGTCTTTGGTTTTCTTCATTCTATCTCACTCCAGATGGGGTGGGACCAATAGACATATCTTAGATGGCCACTCACAAGATTTTAAGACCCCAGAAGCTACTCACCAAAGCAAAAAAAAAAAAAGAAAAAGAAAAAAATGTAATAAATGCATTAACTAGAACCAGAATTTCTTCGAAGTTCAGAATCATTGGTGTATTACCATTGTTGAAAACCATATGGATTTTGCTAAGCAGACCCCTATTCAACCAAATTTTCCTTAGAAAGACAGATATTAGACTTGACCATTTGATTAGGCTATGAAATTGGAACTTATTTTTCATCGTCATGTAGTAAAAAGAGCACCACTCCTTCAGTGAGGTAAGGCACTTTCCTGTGAAGACAAAATATTGGCCTTCAGTAGCAAATATTAAGATCTGTATAAGACTTTCTTCTAAATTTTTATTTTTATGTCTAAACTGAGATTATAGAATTAGAGAAAATGAAAATAAAAGTGCTGCAATGACAAGAAGCATCTAGGATAGTGGACCAAAACTCTACACATTCAAGATTAGCAAGATTAGATTTGTACACTGCAAGACCCTAGCAAAAATGTTCAATAGCGCTTCCTTTGCTAGAAGTCACTGAGTAATAATGATACCATTCCAGAGGTCATGGTGTACATCCTCAACTTTGTAAACAAAGCAAGAGGAATCCATTCTATGGTTCTGGAATCAGGACTCAAGTTTGTACATTAAATGCTAATTTCTTAATATCTTCCTGCTGACGGGGGCATAACATAAATGTTTAAATACACCGGAAATTTCACCCAACAGTTTGCCTGGTTTTCTTATTTTTTATGTCATCTGTGAAAAAAAGAGAAACTGCATGGGGGGAAAATAACATTTGAATGGAAAAGTAATTTAAATATTTTATTCCTCTTTTGAAGGAATCTGCCAGCATCTCTCAGGAAGTAAGTCACAGCTACTAAAATTATATAAATTTTAAAGTAATTTTCTTTATTTTGTTATGGTTATAAATATGTTTTTTTCCCTCCTAAGGAATCTACCCCTGTCTCTCAAGAAGTAAGTCACAACTACTAAAATTAAATTATTTAAAGCATTTTTTAAAAAATTTGTTATGGTTGTAAATAAATTTTATTTATTTTGCAGAAATAGAAGTAGGACCTAACTAATGAACCTCTTTCTCCAATTCCTATGAGGAATGGAGATCTTATCATTTAGTGGCTTCCGTTTTTATAGATTTCCAGAATTGTTTTCATTTACTGTTATTATACCTGTGTACTAAGCAAATAATTACCTAATATTTTTCTTGAAATTTACTCTAATGGAAATTTTATATAAAGAGTATCCAAATCACAATGAGGGAATTGGCGATTGAGTCGTAGAAATTTCCCCTTTCATGCAGGAGACCCAGATTTGATTTCCAGCCAATGCACCTCACCAACAGCCACCACCTGTCTCTCAATGGAGGCTTGTGTGTTGCCATGATGCTGAACAGGTTTCGGTGGAGCTTCCAGACTCAGGTGGACTAGGAAGAAAGTCCTGGCCATCTACTTTTGAAAAGTAACCAGTGAAAACTTTATGGGTCACCACAATCCAATCCACAATTGATCATGAGAATGGCACAAGACTGGACAGTGTTTTTTTCCATGGTGTACGGGGTGCCTATGAGTCAGGGCTGACTCCATGGCAACTAACAACAACATCTAAATCATAGAATTAAATATCTACTTTGATACACATACACATATTTGGTGTACTTTAAAATAAATGTAGTACTATTTAAAACATTTCCTAATAAGCTAAATAAGTTAATATTGTGAATATATTTCAATCTTTTCTGAAATACAAATTTTGCAAGCACTCCATCTCTTACGGGGGCCCTGGTGGCTTAGTGGTTAAAGAGCTTGGCTGCTAACCAAGAGGTCAGCAGTTTGAATCCCCCAGCCCCTCCTTGGAAACCATATGGGGCAGTTCTGCTCTGTCTTCTAGGATCACTGTGAGTTCAAACCGACTCGACGGCAATGGGGTATGGGATGTCCCTTACCAAGGAGCTTTGGTGGCACAGTGGTTGAGCTCTCGGCTGCTAACTAAAAGGTCAGCAGTTCGAACCCACCAGCCTTTGAAACCCTGTGGGGCAGTTCTACTCTGTCCTATAGGATTGCTATGAGTCTGATTCAGCTCAATGGTAATGGGTTTGGTTTTATTTTTTTATGTCCCTTAACATGATTTTTAAATCTTGGGGTGAGTAAAAGAGTAAAACAGTGAGTAAAAGAAGGAAAATCCCATTCTACTTCGAGATTACAATCCAATGAAACACTAGTTGTGTGTTTCTACTAATTGGGGAACTCAGTTACAGCCTTAAAACTTGTGAGAACTCAGATAGCATTCAAGCAATGAAAATAAATTCATTCTTATGCTTCACTTTATGGAAGAGGGATTTTTCTCTATATATCCAAGTGGAAATTCTGTATGGTCAATAGATATGAAATAATTTGTTTAATTCTTCTTTATTTTCTTTAAGGAAACCCTAAAGAAGATTACTGATAGGGTAAGTGTTTTTATATTTATGTAGCTATTTTTGATTTAAAATCTTAATAGGAAGATATGGTATGCCTTTTTTTTTTTTTTTAGTTACATAAAAGTACAATTTTTATATGACCCCTATTTGTATTTCCTTCAATTTTTCTTATTTCTCTCACTTAGGATACTTTCATTTATATCTAATTTGTCTTTTATATGTTTTCCACTGCTGTAATGAAAAGCTACTTTTACAATTTTTTGAAAGAGAAATTGTAACATTATTTTTACTTGTCATACTAATGATCATATTGGTAACATGAAAAGTTCTGTCATATTATTGATGTTTAAAAATAATAATGCTGCTGATTCAATTACGCCTAGTCTTCAGATTTTTATTTTTCTTCTTCATTTTTTTTTTTAATTTCTCAAGGATACTCCTAGCAGCTCATCTAGTGAGGTAAGTGACACTTTCACTGAAAGTAAAAAAGTAATCCATTCATTTAGAAGCATAACATTTTTCTGTGATGTATGCTTATTTCAGCAAATTAGTGCCTGCTATTCTTTTAGCAAAGTCACATTAAAATATACAGTAGAAATAAAAGAAAAACTGTAAGAAATATACTCAATTCAAAGTCATTTTTGGATCTAAAGTTAACTGTCACTTACTCAACATTAGCTGCCCCATTCCATCTTGGCTAGTATATATCTTACCCTGACACTTTGGAAACTGCATTTTTAAAAACAGACCAGTATGTCATCAAGAGCCTTCCAATTGCTTTCACCGTAGTTTTAGCCTCCCAAGTTGGAATCACCTCGACGGCAATGGGTTTGGGTTTTTTTAATTTTATTTTTTGTTTTTGTTTTTTAATATTGATTAGGAAGTTAAATACTGGAGTGCGTTATTTGAGTTGTGTACGTGACTAGAATAAGAACCACCCGCTGTGGTAGAAATAGTCAAGGGGTCAGCACAATGGGAAATGTCCTGGGAAAGTACGAAGCGTAGATTGTAGCCCAGAGTCTTGTGGCCTCGAGCAAAGGCCAAAGTGTTCCTCTTCAGTACTTTAGGAAGCATGCTTTATCCTTTCTCTCAACCTCAAGACTCAGTCTCAACCTGAGAGCCAGTGGCCATGCCTAGAAAGGCCAGGCAGGCTTTAGTTTGCCTCCCACCTCACCTAGACTATGTGCTCATTGTTTTGCCTGCCTCCTGTCTAGTCATCTGTCATTGTTTGAACAATGCACACAGATAAAGATTTCACAATAATACATATCTTAAGTAATGTGTCACTATATTAACAAGAGTGTGTGCTCTGATATCGAATGTTTTAATTTAATCATTCTTAATTCCTTTATTCAGTAATTAAGACTGTATTTTTCATTAGTGATGGGTTGGCTCTCAATCATCCAATTATCCCTAGATCTCTACCTTAACTATTTAGGTATAATTACTGGTGTGTCTTCCAAGTAGAGCTGATTTTTACTTTCTTTCCCTAAGGAAACTGCTGAAGTATCCCCTGAGGTAAGTAATTTTCACTGAAATTATGTGCATTTAACATTAGCCAGTATTGATGTCTTTTGTATTTTTATAACAGTTGATTTTGGTTCTTAACAGAAAATTGAGCTGAATAAAGAAGAAATGAACTACCTGAAACAGCTGGTGATTATTTCATAAACTTATAATTCAAGCAAAAAGAATATATTTCAAAACATTTTCTTCCCTCACATTGAAGTTATCATTCAATCATAAAGAAATATTTCAAATCAAATTCAAAATAAAACATATTTCTGTTATAGTTGCTATTGTTATTCAGCCACTATCTTGGCAGATAAATCTGGATCTATATTTTAAGAAAAGGTCCCTGGGTGGCACAAACAGTTATGCGCTTGACTACTAGCCAGAATTTGATGGTTTGAACACACCCAGAGACGCCTCAGAAGACAGTCCTGGCAATCCACTTCCAAAAGGTCAGAGCCTTGAAAACCTTATGAAGCAGTTCTAATCTGCACACATGGGGTCGCCATGAGTTGGAATCAATTGGATGACAACTAACAAAGATAACAATAACAACATTTTAAGAAAAATTATTTGGAACAATTATTTGATTTTGAAGGAGATGCAAACCTCAAAATACGTGTTTTAATTTTAAATAATCTAGTTTAGATACTGGTGTAATGTAACTGGGGTGCAAATAGTTAACACTCTCTACACTCTAACTTCTCTTTGACAGTATAGCATGACTTGATGTCTAAAAAGAAAGTCTATTAATCACTATTCTCAAACCATAGAAGTCCTTGTAATCAATTGTTGTGGACCAGAGACGCATGGACCTCAGTGAAAGGTCATAGGCTTTGGAGTCAAGGCAATTTATATTCCAACTCCAGCTCCACTACTTGCTATATCTGTGACATTTAAATACTTAATCTCTCAGCAACAGTATTCTCAACTAAAAAATGAACATAGTTATACAATGCTAACCCTGAAGGTTTTCTATGAGCATCTTGTAAGCAAATACATGTAAACTGTGTTACGGAATGCTGGAGATAAAAAAAATATATTAATAGTACTAGGATTTATTGACATCATCCTCCTATATACTGTAGAAATTTTCTCTAAAACTTTTAAAACAGAGCCAGTATTCACTCCAATTCTTTCAAACTGCAGTTCTTCCAACTGAGAACCTACTTGGTTTTAATAAGTTCTAATCGCTATGAGTTGGAATTGACTTTACAACAAGCTTTTTTTTTTTTTTAAATTGCTGTGAAGCCAATGGACTCAAACATAGCAACAATTATGAAGATGGCCCAGGACCAGGCAATGTTTTATTCTGTTACACATAAGGTTACCATGAGTCAAAGCCAACTCTATGGCAACTAACAACAATTGCTCTGAAGACCTTCCTTAATAGTTTGGCAAAATGATTCCAGTAGCATTCTCCATTGTATCAATTTTATCATAGCCATGGATCTATTCAATAATGATTGCCTGGAAATTAAAAAATTGGTTTTCTATTCATTAAAAAAAAAAAACAAAAAAAACACTGCCATCAAGTTGATTCCTACTATGTAAATTATTTCATGAGACATTGCCATTTTAATTTTATCTTTATTTCCTATAATAATCTGTGATAAGGCTTATGGAGCAGGCTCAAAGAAAGAAGTTGGAGATGGGGAACATTTATTCAAATATGTGACTAGCAGTGTGCAGTATGCTGGCTATATGTTAACTCACATAAGCCCGCAAGGTGAGTGACTCTCAGAGAAATTCAACAACTGACTCAGAGCCGTAGATTCCAGTGAATAAAATCTGAGAACTTACGCTGAACCTATCTGATTATAAAAACCAAACATGAAAAATCGAGACATTGACCTTGGAAATTCCAAAGATCCTCCTCTTGCTTTGTTACATGTATGTTTTCTTTTCTCTTAGGCGTTCTTGTGTGAACTCCTGAATTAACTAGAGGATTTCTTCAATTCTGCATTTCTAGAAATGTAGAGAGATTTACAATTATTTTTATATAAGTAAACTTCCCTTTTGCTGGGTCTATTAGGAAAAAAAATAGAAATTCTCTTAATAAAGTTATAATTTATTTTGAACCATTGAAGTAATTAAATGCTGAGTAATTATTAATGATTTTCTTTGTTTCTAGGTAAAAATTAACCAGGTTTACCGGAAGTTCGCCTTCCTCCAGTATCCCCAGCCTCTTCATCCACAGCAGATAGCTATGAACCCTTGGCGTAACATTAAGGTAAACACCTACCATTTATTCCCACCCTGGTATGTTTGATTTAAAAATAAATAAATATAGTTGTCTTTTGTGCCAAAAGAGAAGAAACAAAATAAAGAAAAATCCCAACAGATTCTCACATAGAAATTACAACAAATTTAAATAAAACTGCCAAGACCACAAATGAAATAAAAAATCATATAGTTCTAATACAATATACAATCATAACAATACTGATAAAGAATTTTATTTATGTTGGATTTTAATTCTCTTAATGTTTATGTATATATTTCACTTGATTTTAATTCCCTAAACATTTGTGTGTATATTTCACCTGATTCCTGCGAAAATTCCTTGAAGTAGGAAGACATAGATAAAAGCAGTTTTATTTTACAAAGAAGGCTGTAATTTAAGGAAGTGCAATGACTTTCCCAAGCTGTACTTAACAGTTCACATTCATTTAATAAGAATCTTTTTTTTTCTTTTTTTCTTCTATGTCACCTGAGACTATGGTCCCCAGCCCCCAACCCCAGCTACTCGGTCCCTCAAAGTGTTTGGATGTTCCAGGAAACTTCTGTGCTTTTGCTTTGGTCCAGTTGTGTTGACTTCCCCTATATTTCGTGTTGTCCTTCCCTTCACTGAAGTTGACACTTTAATAAGAATTTTTTGGCTTAAGATATTTTTTTCCCCAACACGGAAGAGCAGAAAATTGAATTTGGAAAGCTGAAAATTTAGTATAAACTTTAAAGGATTTCACATCAGAAGTTTGAGGATCAAGACCCAGATCTGAAAATTCTTTGGATGACATTTTTTATTTTTCATTTTTGGATGTGATTGACTTTCCCAGGCAGCATACAACATTTAAAGATACACACCTTATTGTTATGGAAAATAAGAATTCTGTAATTTAGGTTTGAATGTTAGATACCTAAAAAATGTTTTAAATAGTTCAGGTGAGATGTAAATATCCTTTGTGAAATAAAATGTATCTTTTTTTTTTTTTAAGAGGAACTTTTAAGGTTCTTGAACTAACTGCTGCTACTTGACCTTGGGTAAGTGCCTTTAGGCCTAGAAATTGAGCAACATTTTAAATAGAATCTTCAGTTAAGAATACAACATCAAAGAAAAATTACATTTAAATGATTTAATTTGAGCTATTCTATAATGGATCCCTGGTGGTGCAGTGGTTAAGAGCTCAGCTACTAACCAAAAGGTTGGCAGTTCGAATCCACTAGCCACTCCTTGGAAACCCTATGGGGCAGTTCTACTCTGTCCTTTAGGGTCACTATGAGTTGAAATTGACTCAAAAGCAATGGGTTTGGTTCAACAGATATTCTATAATTTTCCCTCAGTAATTTCTCTGGAAAAAACTCATTCATGGTTTTTATCTTTTTGAAACACATAAAGCCTACTTTCTCAGCGGTGGTCACTATCACTTTCTTCAAGATTTCAGCTGGAATTATACTTGCCTCCGTAATAGATTTAGAATCATGATATAGACTCAAGTCATTCTGATCCATATTGAAGATGCTCCTTATATAGTCACCTCCTTTTTTTCCTAACATTTTCTTTGGACTATTAAAGTTTTCTCCTTTTTGAAATTCCATCTCCCTTAATTTGTCTCCTTTTACTCTATCTATATATCACAAACTTAAACTTTTGGTGAAAACCAAAAGTATGCACCATACAACAAGTACACATGGCAGACGTGACAAAGTATACCACAGCAGTTCAATAACAGCTGACATTTATTGAGCTTTTGCAAAGTGCAAACCACACTTCTAAAGCTTCTGCCTATATTAATTAATTTTATGCTTAAAACACACTTGTAATATTGTTAACATTATTTACCAATGTGTAGATTAGGAAAACAGTACACAGGGGAGTTAAATAAATAGGCTATGATCAAAATGTATTTAAAAAGTGAAAGAGCCAGGATTTGAACCCAGATATTTGGCTCTTGTGCCTTCATTTCAAACACTCCACTTCTGAGGCTAAACTACAAGCAAATGCCAGTGAGATATTAATTTGAGGGACCAATTTTTTACTTTATAAGGGTATTTATCCCACAGCTTGATTCTCTTTTGTCGATTTGGTCCTTCTGATGATAGGAAAGGACCATACAACTTTCCCAAATAATCTCATGTGAGAAAAATAGTAATATAATTCTTATGGAAAACAGCTGAGGTTGCAGTTGTATTTTCTGATTAGGTATAGTCACTATTGTCATCATTGATTCATTCTATATTTTGTGAGTGCTTATGATGAGTCTTACTCTATTAGAAACTTGTTAGAGTCAACCCTCCTTAACCTCAGTTCCAGAAAAAGGAAACATTTGCAACAAAGTTTAGTAAATGTTAAATTAGAATTATGAGCATGATACTGTGGTAGTAAGAAAAGGTCATTTGATGTATTTGATTAAGGCCTGAACGACAACATTTTAGAAAACTAGAAAGAGAGCAAGCAAAGCAATGTCAAAAGGATATTCTAAGGCAGAAACGAAATCACCGGAGTATTTACAAAATAAATCTATACATAAAGTGGTTTCTAATAAAATGGATTATGAAGAATTTACTTTTAAAGAAGTTTTTTAAATAGCTTTAAAAGGATGTTTTGTTTAATACAATTATTTGACTGAAGTCGAGATTTCATTTAGAAGAAATAGTCATTGTTTGAGGTAATCATGTATTTTATGCCAAAAAACTACTTGAAAATTAAGGATAATTTAAAGGTTCCTTCACAATTTGCTGAAAATATAAATATTTCACTTTTTGGACAACTAGAAGCATTATTTTTGCATAATATGTGGTACAGTTTGGCTATTAATTTGCAATCGTTTAGTCATTTATACAACAGATGCTTACACTGGCACTAGAAAATATTAACTAGTATTAACTATGTTGTTGGGTGCCACCGAGTTCATTCTGACTCCTAGCGACCTCATGTGACAGAGTAGAACTTCCCCATAGGGTTTTCTAGGCTGTAATCCTCATGGGAGTAGATCGCCAGGTCTTTCTCTCACAGACGCGCAGGATGGGTTCGAACCACCAGCCTTTCGTTTAGCCCAGTGCTTAACTGTTTTGCAACCAGGGTTCCTTAGTATTAACTATAAATAAAAATATTTTGTTAGACCAGTATGTATATTTGTATGTTTATATGTGTGTAGATATACATATATATTCTGAAATGTTCATTTTATAGATAATCCAATGTTTTCATTTTATTCATAGTTTGATTGGAAAAAATCATGGTGTCTTCATCTATCACATCACCTCATAATACCAACATGTGTTTGACAAACTTGTTGAAAAGACTACATCACTGAGGCGAAAGAAGACTATGTGGAATATTTTCTGTATTTCTAGTCTCCCTGTTAGTTCATGTTGGATATGCCAGATCTAGATTATGGTACATTTAACTGTGTTTATGATTAATTGAGGTCTTTTACCATTGTTTCTGAAATACACAACCACATATCTCTTCCTATAACATTAAAATTGCAAATGCATTTTTAAGTGTGTGCTCTTTATTTTCATTCCTCATACTTAAGGGCTAGGCTACTTTCCCTAGGATACCCAGTTCTGTAGCAACCACAGAACTGGTACCCAGCTTGGGCAGCACTAATATAACATTGTATATGTTTGGGGCCCTTAGTTCCAAGTGTGCCTCTCATAGCTGATAACTCTGAATGCTACAAATTTATGGACTTAAGCATAGCTGTATTCTCAACACTATTAAACCCTCACCCTTTCGGAGAAATAATGAAAAACAAAGTCTCCTACTCACCCAGAAATTTTTCTCCACACAGCATAGGAAAGAAAGAAAACCGTTGTATTACTGAATAAGTATTAAAACAGATTGTGGTGTGCATTACAGACAATCCACTAAAGAAACTGCAAAGACAGAAAGAAATCTCCCTATTTCTTATAAGCAAGCAGGTATAATATGTTACATGCGTGTTCTTAAGATGAAGGATAACTAGTCCTCAAGTAAGAGGACTGTACAGCACCGTTTGTCACTCATAAGCAGTAACCAGTTGCTGTTAAGTCAGCTCTCACTTATGGTGACCCAGGTGTGTCAGAATAGAAATGTGCTCCATAAGGTTTTCAATGGCTGCTTTTTGAGAAGTAGATACCCAGGCTTTTCTTCCTAAGCACCTCTGGGTAGACTCGAATCTCCAATTTTTCAGTTAATAGTGGAGTATGTAAAGTGTTTGCACAATCCTTTGTCATACATAGTTCATCCTAAATCACCTGGTCATTGGGGTTTGCAACCTACCTATGTTTGCTAACTGACTCGATACAAAGGAAAAATAAGCATCTCATATGTTTATGATACAATTTTGCAACTTGAAGCCAGTCAGCGAAGTTAAGATTCTACCCTCCCTCCTGAGACTGGGAGATAAGAGTGCTGTCTTCCTTGATGATAACACTTTAAGGAGATGGCTCCCACTTTCTTAAGAAAAAAGTATTCCTGGATTGTAAAACTGGCAAGAAGATTATTATAAAAATATTTACTCTCACCCCAACAAGGCTGGCACTAATCCAAAAACACAATTTAATAAATGTTGGAGAGGTTGTGGAGAGAATGGAACACCTATGCACTGCTTGTGGGAATATAAAATGGTACAAACACTTTGGAAAATGATTTAGTGCTTCCTTAAAAAGCTCGAAATAGAAATACCATAGGATCCAGCAATCCCACTCCTTGGAATATATCCTAGAAAAATAAGAGCCATCACACAAATAGATACATGCACACCCATGTTCATTGCAGCACTGTTCACAATAGCAAAAAGATGGAAACAACCTAGGTGCCCATCAACAGACAAATGGATAAGCAAATTATGGTATATACACACAATGGAATATTATGCAATGACAAAGAACAATAATGAATAAGTGAAACATCTCACAACATGGATGAATATGGGGGGCATTATGCTGAGTTAAATTGGAACAAATATTGTATGAGACCACTATTATAAGAATTCAAGAAAAGGTTTAAACACAGAAGAAAACATTCTGTGATGCTCACGAGAGTGGGGAAGGAGGGAAAAGGAAATTCACTAACTAGAAAATAGACAAGAATCATCTTCGGTGACGATAAGGACAACACACAACACACGGGAGAAGGTAAGGACAACACACAACACAGGGGGAGTCAGCACAACTGGATCAAAGCAAAAGCTAAGAAGTTTCCTGAACACACCCAAACACTGTGAGGGACGGAGTAGCTGGGGCTGGGGTCTGGGGACAATAGCTTCAGGGGACATCTAGGTCAACTGGCATAACACAATTTGTTAAGAAAATGTTCGGCATCCTGCTTTGGTAAGTGGTGTCTGGGGTCTTAAAATCTAGCGAGCAGCCATCTAAGATGCATCAGTTGTTCCCAAACCACCTGGAGCAAAGGAGAATGAAGATCACCAAAGACACAAGGAAAACATTAGCCCAAGAGACAACAGGGTCACACAAACCAGAGAATCCATCAGCCTGATTAGAATAACTAGATGGTGCCCGGCTACTACCAATGACCGCCCTAACAGGGAACACAACAGAGATTCGCGGACGAGGCAGGAGAAAAGCGCAGAACAGAACTCAAATTCACATAAAAAGACTGGACTTAGATGTCTGACACGGACTGGAGGAATCCCTCAAATTATAGTCCCCAGATACTCTGCTAACCCAGAACTGAAACCTTTCCCAAAGCCCACGCTTCAGACAAAGACCAGACTGGACTATAAAACAAAAAAATAATACTTGTGAGGAGTGTGCTTCTTAGTTCAATCAGATACGTGAGACCAAATGGGTGGCTCCTGTCCGGAGGCAGGATGAGAAGGCAAGAAGGGACAGGAACTGGTTGAATGGACACAAGAAGCCTGGGGTGGAAAGGAGGAAGGTGCTGTCGCATTGTAGGGATTGCAACTATTGTCACATAACAATATGTGTATAAATTTTTGTATGAGAAATTAACTTGAGCTGTAAACTTTCACCTAAAGCACAATTAAGATAAAAGAGAGAGATTTACAAACACCTGAAAGAGATAGAGAAAGAATTTGCCAGTTTTCTAAAGTAAATGTTCTAAAAAAAAAAAAAAAGGAGGGGGGGAGGGAGCAAAGTCTCTTTTCCTTTTTTGCACTAGGAAGAATTAAATTTATTTCTCATTATTGAGTTATATTGACAATTACAATTCTAACTTCCATCTAATTTATTCCTGCTTCCAATTGTTTATCTCAAACAACTTTCACTAGCATCTTCACATTTGCAATCAACAGTCCACGCTTGGTCAGAAAATCCACAACATCAATTCACAAGTGAGTCAGGCACTGAAAACTTAAACCACCCAGGCCCTCCACAAGTGGTTTAGCCTTATTTTTCAGCAAACATCAATGGCTTGTGATATGCCCGGCATTGATAAGATACTCAAGGAAGGCAATTCTATCAAGCTGAAGTTGGGGCAGTGAAATAGAAATACTGGAGGAAGACAGTTACAGAGGAAGAAGCAGTAAAAGCAAATTCACTGAGGTGGGTGCATGTGTGGGATATAAGCAAAACGCCAAGGAGGGATTATGTCTAGAGAAGAAAAAGGGATGGGAAGAATTGAAAGTACATCAGGGAGGAAGGTAGTAGGGGTAAAGATTTGTATGGTCTTGCAATTTGTGTAATGCAATTTGGTTTGAGGTGGTAGGTCATCAAAGTGTTTTTCACAGGTAAGTGCCACTGTTGTTAGGTGTGTTTGAGTCATTGAGACCCATAGTGACCTCATGCTACAGAGTAGAACTGCCCCACTGGGTTTTCTTTATTGTAATCTTTACTGAAGTAGATTACCAGGTCTTTCTCCTGCAGAGTTGCTGGGTGGGTTCAAATTGTTAAACTTTTGGTTAGTAGCCTAATGCTTAATCTTTGCTCCACCAGGGCTCCTTTAAATGCCATTATATCATATATTTTACAAGGGTGAAAAATATAAAAGCTAGGAGACTACTGGTTTGACTTCAAGCGGTATCTCCAGTCCTTTAAGTTTCTCGATCCCCTCCTGTGGCCCCCTACCCCATTGTTTTCCATCCTGTCCATATCTGCTCGGCGTGACTTTCTGTATTTCATCACTGATCATTTTAAATATTCTCTTAATAGCTCTCACTGCTCTTCTGCCTGTGACCCATCCTACCTGGAAAAAACACCTCAACTCTGGAAACCCCTACTTCCACTGGTATTCTGCCCAGGCAGCTGAATTCTAAAAGGGGGGAAAAATTCCCATGTAGTTGCTCCCTCTGTAAATCTATGTTTTCTAAACTTTTTTGGAACTCATAACTGCCTACCAAATGTTGCCTTGTGGAAGTTAGAGTTAGTTATTTTTTCTCTTTTTTCTTCAAAAACTGTTCTTAGATTCATTATTCTCCTCAAGCCTTCAATTATCTTTGCTTCACTCATTAACAGAAAGAATCCGCCTTTCTCCTTTGCAGAAACTATTGAGATCATTAGACTGCCAAGATTCCAACCAGACCCTTGTATATAACTTAATCTAAATCTGAACATTAACTCTTTCCTTCAGTCTCAAAAGATCTGTCAATCCACCCTTAAAGCCAATTTCTCTTTCTCTTCTTTTTATTCTCTACAAAAACTATTCTTTTTAATAAGAAAATTTGTGGTAGTCAATAAATTTAAAAAAATCTAAGATTTACAAAAAAACTATTACACGCAGTATGATTAACATGCATTGTCTGAGTTAATTCTCACAACTTTTAATAACTGCAGTTGAAGCATTGTAGCTCGTTCCCAAGGGCACTACTCTATTTGGTACTGTTGATTAAGCCTTATACAGACAGAGAGATAGATAGACAGATAGATAAGTGTGCTCAAGTCAGCTCCAACATATGACGACCCTATATACAACAGAATGAAACGCTGTGTAGGCCTTCATCATCCTCACAATAACCGGCATGTGCAAGTCCATTGCTGCGCCTACTATGTCAATCCATTTCACCGAAGGTCTCCCTTGATCTGTTGGCTCTCTACTTCATTAAACACGATGTTCTCTTCTAGTGATTGATCCTTTCTGATGACATGTCCAAAACAAGTGAGAGACAATGTTCTGTTGTAATCTATAAAGTTAATTTTCAGAAGTAGATCACCAGGCCTTTCTTCTTTGTCTTAATCTGACAGCTTCACTGAAAACTGTTCACTATGGGTGACCCTGCTGGTATTTGAAATACCAGTAGTATAGTTTCCAGTATCCTTGACATGCAAGTCACCACAGCAGGACAAACTGACAGATAGGAGGTTCAGATTAACACTTACTTCTTGACAATTCTAATTCTCTTCCTTTGACTCCTTCTTTCACATGTTCTACATCAACTCCTTTTCTTTTTCTTACACATAACATTTATGTTCTCAGATTCTGACCTCAGCCTCCTTCTTTTCTGACTATACACCTTTTT